TTATATAATCTTCTCATGACTATTTTCAATAAGATTATCTTTAAACTATTTGCTAATATTTAATACATGAATCTATCAATTACTCATCATTGAATAATTAAATAAGCAATTATAAGCTATACCTCTAATTATCTAATTAATATCGTATTCTCTCTTACCCCAACGATTACTTATACATAAAAATACACTAGAATATTGTTTAACTGTAATATTGTAATATGGACGCCAACAGAACTATTAACCAAAGTATTAAGACTACTTATTACGCAGCTTTAATTAATACAAGTGTTGGCGTTGTTGCGTTTATTTTAAATCTATCAGTTTGCTTTATTATTATTACACATTCTACTCTACGCCAGCCATTTAATCATCTAATACTAAATTTATCTTTTTCTGATCTCTTGGTCTCTTTAGCCGTCTTTTTCAACGGAATTTTAGATTATTTTTCAGTACAACGATTTATGTCTTATGAATTGGCTACGGTTATTTGCAAGATTGATATGTCATGTGCTGTAATATCACTACCCGGTGCTTGCTTAACGTTACTTGTGATGAGTATTGAGCGTTATCATGCAGTTGCAATAATCCAATTACGATCAGTGAAATTATCAACGGTACGTAAGACTATTTTGATCATTTGGATATTGGTGACTTTGTCAGCAATTATACCTATCATCTATACTCAGTTGGATCCTGTTTATCCAAATGATTGTTTTGTTGGCGACATTGATAATTTTGCCTTACTAGTCGTAAGCATTATAGTTTTATTCATAACATGTGTGGTATCCATCGCGATTATGTTAATATTCTACGGTATCACTATTTATAAATTATGCCATAATATGGCTGTTGTTCAGCCTTTACAGACACGAATTACTAGTAAAAGGGAACAAAATACGCGACGAACTATTATTCCAATTTTATTTCTGTCGATTTTTTCATCGATATCTAGCGTTCCGTACGTACTCCTAAATTATTATATTATCTTTAATGAATATTATACTCCTAACTTTAGAAATAGTTTTATTCAGCAAAATCATTTTATATGGGCAGC